ATTTTACTTGCACACGCATAGGTTAATACAATACATTACAATACGAAATTTATACCTACAAATCTACTAGTAAATTCACTGAAAAGGCCCATTAAATCCAGGTACTGTATTTTACAATATTAGCAATATTGTTGATTAAAGTACAGTATTCAATAAAGATAGTTGTTGAATTTTATAATAATATGTTTACGAATATTTTTTGTGGCACAAAAATAGAAATTAGGCTCGTTATACTGTACTTTAATCAAATTTTTATATCGAAATATTTGCAAAATGATGTCGTAATATTGTCATCGTTCAACACTTGGTACCTAGGTAAATACGGTATACCGTAATGGCGCGTTATTTTGGGACGCGCATGCGCGGTATTTCGAATCATTTTGACAAATTTGGTGTCGGCCAATTCTGTATATGATCTACTTATATAAGGGGGCGCGTTATTTCGGGACGCGCATGTGCGTTATTTCGAGTCAAAAATGCAATTTTCAAAAAAAGGCGTGTTTCGAAATAACACGCATGTGCGTTATTGCGCGCCATTACGGTAAGCGTCTGGGGATCGAGTGTTCCAGTAAATTTATTAGAGACGATTTTGACAGTGGTAGCATTTAATATAAAGTTATTACATTAAGTTTGCGACATTGGTTTTGACGCGACGACTTCTCACCCTTAGACCAGAATCATATTATAAATGACCACTAAAAAAAGTAATCGTTGGAAACTCAGGCTTCCGTACTTTGAAAAGAACAAATTGTGGAGCTTATTAGATTTCTTACATTGGAGTGTAGTATTTATCAGTGATTTCGGAAAAAAGGAAGAAGAGCATAGAGGATATAAAATTTGTTTAGAACAGCTTGCTAAAAGCCCCGAATTATTAAAGTCTCATAGCAATCAATCGGCTCAAAAGTTGGTATCAAGATGCTTGGAATCATATGAGGTTAAGAGTTTTTTTCCCATTTTCTGTGCGTTTGTTTGTTTCAAGGCTATAAGGGGATAGGTTGCGTCCGAATATTTCTTAGTCGAGTCTAAGAAAGTGCCTTGTTATAGTCCTTCCTAACCGCTTAAAGTGCTATGTTGAGTCAGAATATCCGCTCGTTGAGTCGAAAATCCCAGGATCGTATCCTTGGGTTTGCGGAGTGCACTTTACTTTGGTTGCGTCCAAAGTTGTAAGCAATAATTTTTAATTTTATGTAGAATGAAAAGCAATCACTTGGAGTAGAAAACTTTTGGAAGACCAAAAGTAGTGTCGTGGAAACGTTACAAAGAGCATCCACCTTGAATTCTCTAAATATAATTAATCGAATGGTGGACTTACATTCCGATTATAATAATGCATTGGCTAATGCTACACGAGAAAATATTGAGCCAGGTACATCTTGAACCCACTTTACATTATATACATTATAAACCGAATATGTATTTGAGCTTTTCTTAATATTGTGAAATAATAGCTCTAAAAACAGAAAAGACGAGGAACGATGAGACCGATTCAAATGATACAATAACGGACGATAATAATGAAGAAGAAGATCTTGATGAACCAGAGACAGAAATGGTGTTTAAAATACTTGCGGTTTTTATACTTTCCAAGTTTGCATATTATAATTCTGTAATTTAAATTTCAAAATTCTAGGTGGCTTTATCTCACAAAAGAAAAAGAGAAGTTTTGCGCAGTTTAGATAATCAAGAAAACTATTCAGAATTTTCCCAATCAGAAGTAAATTTATCATATACTATTCAAGTTCCAAAAGTTGAGGTATTTTTAGTTTCTCATGTGTCAACGTGTTTTTTATATCATACATCGAAACTAAGAGTTAATTTGATCAGATGTTAAAAGGGTTGGAGACGAAGACACGCTTAGAAAAATACAATATTTTTTGCCTTTTCGATGTTGAGTTCCTTTACACAAAACAACTTTTTAAAAAATTATCAACAGAACAAGTTAATGCAATAAAAAGTAAATGGACAATGGTTAGTTTATTTTTAATTGTTTTAAATAGTTATTGACATAGACTCCAAATTAACAAATGTATCTTTATGAACAATAATGAGGCCGAAGATTCGATTAACAAAAAAGATATCGATGAACGCTGGAGTGCATGTTCGTTAAAAGAATTAGTCGATAATTATAACAAAGTCATCAAAAAGAATGTAAATGAAAATACATTTTGTACAGACTTTAACTCACTTATGACGGATGTTACAAAACAACAATTTAATAATTATGAACATCAAAAAAATTACGAACTGCTTTGGTGCCAAAACCTTTGCACACAATTGTATGCATTATTGATTAGTTCCTTCTGTGTTATTATGACTGCAGAGTAAAATAACCGATTTCTTCTTATATCAGAACTCTTCAGTTATTACGAAGACACAGTGCTCTGTTGGACAGTAGTACAAGTGAATATCAATATCGGGACGAAGTAGTAAATCCTCTTTTGGCGTCGATCTTTTTTGATGTCGATAATGCATTGTGGTTGAAAACGTAAGTTATGCCTTGCAAGTTGTTCTCAAAAATTATGAATCTAATTTATTACTAATGATAAACTAGTGGAGAAATTGAAAGCATCACACAAAAAAGACAACGCAATTTTTTAAAACAAGAAAATGAACGAGTAAAACTCGGTGCCAAACACGATGGTATTTTATACATGGATGTACAAGGTACACCAGTCGAAGTCGGTTTTTTGGAAGTAGTGGGTAATGCGTTTACTATGGCAATATCCGACAAAAATGATGATCTAGAGAAATTGTTAAAAGGTATATCTGCAATTTATATCATTTTGCATGACATAATAACTGGTTAATTCTATTTATTTATTTTTTTTTTATTAATTGTAGCCATGATGTTGTCTCTTTGGTATCAGCATGCACATCAATTTGAGAGTTTTTCGGAAAACATGACGTTGCAATCATTTTCCATTTTAGTATTTGGTTAGTGTTTACCAGTACTTATTTTCTGAATCAAAATAATTTATTAATTTGTTTATTTGAATAGGACGAGAATTTCACCTTTTAAGCATGCACTTCATAGATGATATGTACATTGTTGACGAATTCGATGCTTTCATTATACCAGATTCTGGTATGAATTTTTCGCAAATTGGAATAATAATTGAAATAATCAAAAAATTCAAAGTTAGTTCTTTATTATTTTAATTCATACAAAGATACTTGTGACTTCAATAATAATTATAACTTTTTCCTGTAGATACGACTGATAAGGTATTATCGTCAACTTGTTCAAAGACCGCGTAGGGTGACTCGATATCCAAAACCAGGATTACCAACTGATTCACAGTTAAAACTCAAGAGAAATCAAAATCCTTTTACTTCCGATAAAGAAAATGAACCAGATGAAGAATTTTAAATAATTCGCTTTGGACAAATTTATAGCTTTGAGTTATTTAGACACAAAGTAATAGTGATTTCCAAACCAGAATATTTACACCAAATTTTCACCAATATGTAAAAATTTGCAATTGTGGAAGCATAAATAAACTATACGGATCATGCGTTACAATTTATAACTCTAAACATTTTTTTTGGAAGTAACAGAAATATTACCGATTTAATTTTTAGGGATATAATTTTATTAGGAAAGAATCCCAATTTTAATATGATCTGATCAAAACAACACAGTAGTTTAGTTTAAAACAGTTAAATTTCGGTAGATTCTGGATGTAGTATAGTAACTAGATTCTAGACGTAGAATATGGTATAGTGGTTAGATTTGGATATAGCATAGTAATTGTAAAATATTTTTGTATTTTTTTTGTACTAATAAATTAACGTGTTCCTGTCTAAATAGATTGTGGGTTCTGGTTCATATGAGAACAAATAAACAGATACAACTATATACTAGCGAAATTTAAACACTATATTTATTTGAATAAAAATTCTATTTAATTATGGCCTCCGTCATAATAGTCATATTCTAAGTAATTGGTATATGTAAAAATTTACATCAGTGTACTTTCCCGATAGATTTTCACGTATATCCAATCACTTAGAATACAATTGTTTGCTATTTACATTATACATTTAAACCAAAATTTTGGTATCAAAACGTTGAGCCTAAAATTTGGGTCAGTTGAAGCGGGAACCGGACATTTCCAAAATTCAGTAGAGTCTGAAAGGCTTTTCACTTCACTCAATAACTTATAGGTAACTCAAAGTATAAAAAAAGTCCTCGTATAAAGAGCTAATAAATTCATGCAAAAGAATTTATTACTTATATTTGGAGAATAGATAGTTACGCGTAAAATGGAGTAAGTGTGATATTTATTATTAATAATTCCAAACTCATTAAAGAATCTACGTACAAGATATAAGCCAAAACCTTAATGGTACCCAAACATAAAAACCAACCAAATTTAAACATTAAACCAGTCTCAGTCTTTTACTACTAAAGTGCTTGCACCTATTCGAATTAAATGCCTAGGATAAAAAGCTTTTTAAGTCTAATGTAATAGTTGTAGACGAAAAACATTCCAGTTACCTTCACTCTACAGTATAATTTAATATAGTCCAGGAGGCGGCAGACATATTTTGTCTTCTAAGTTAAGTTCTTCAGGTTCCCGATTATTTTCCGAGTATTGCACTCATAGGCGGACATTCGTTTGATTGGCTGATGTAAATCAATTGCCCGGGTAACTTATTTATACACTTTAAAGTACTT